GTGCTGTGCTCAGTGCGGGGTGTTTGTGTGGGGGCTGTGCTCCGTGCTGTGCTCAGTGTGGGGTGTTTGTGTGGGTGCTGTGCTCAGTGCCACGCCCTGCCTGCGCTGCGCTGTGAGGGGAGCAATACGGGCTGGTGACTCACAGTGCACTTGTGTGGCTTCTCCCCTGTGTGGCGCCTCATGTGCACCACCAGCATGTACTGAGCCTTGAAGGGCTTCTGCTCCCGGGAGCACTCCTCCCACCGGCACACAAACTCCTTCTTCTCCCCATGGATGTGGTCGTTATTGATGTGCTGCAAGATCCCAAACCACCAAGGGGGAATAAAATCAGTAAATAGTTAGTGCACAGGTCCTCAACAGGCTATAACGCAACCCCGCACTATTTCGGTATAGAACAACGTGCTGTGGTGAACGTTATAAATCGTTATAAATCGCTATAAATCACGTTTCCTTGAGGTGGATTGGTCTGTGCTTTTCCTCAGAATCCTGTTTGTGCTGGAAGAAACACAGCCTTAGCCAAGGTAACGGTGAACAGTCAAAGATTCTGGCTAATAAGGGCTTGGGAAAACAGCCTTTAATTTCAGGTTTTGACAAAGAAGTGAATTATCTTGGATATGAAAGGCCATGTCATCAATCAAAGCTCCTGGTAGATTTCAATTTGTCAGTCTCCGTGATATGGGAGGATTTTAAATTTACTCTTTTTTGTAGATCAGGAGGTGAAAGCCTGACTTATTTGACAAAAGGTTTTATGATTGCCATATTTTTTTTTTTTGCTCTGTATTAAAATTTTAAGAGCCTGTGCCTAAATGAAAGGCCTTATTGATACAACGTCAAGCTGAGGAAACTCGTTGGTGATCAAATGCTTTGTCTGCCAGATACCTTACACAAACATGCCCCACCAATATGGCCTGGAATCTCTCTTACAAAATGGGAAGGCTGCCTTAGCTCAAGGATTGTTTATAGTTGCAGGATAGTTGCCTATGAGTCACACTGGGTTTGGAATTTTTTTTTTTAAAGAAGCTATTAAGAAAATACTATACCTAATATCGGAAATGAAAAAATAAAGACTCCACAATATGTCAAACTTTTGCTTCAAAACTAGAGACAACTGCCAGGCACTGCCTGTTTCAGCTTGCAGAACAAGCCCCGAGTGAAGGCCAGTGTGGCAAGATTATTCACACCCAGACCAGAGGCTTAGATCCTTTAATTGGCACCCTTACAGTCTTCCCCAAATCCCATGAAAGGTTAGAGGGTCCAATGAAGTTCAGGCATAATGAGCTGAGATTCTGTAGTTTAACACACTCACACACTCATTTCGACATCCATTTCTCTACATTTGTACAGCACTCCAGGTGGCACCCTGTTAATAACCTGTTAACCGCGTTCCGCTAATCAAAGACCTCAAATGTTTTGCTAGGACATCATGCGCTGTTATTAAAACCTGGGATTTCCAGCAACACCATAATGACAAAGTTTCAGAAACACAATAACCGGATTATTGCTGCGTCGTGCCATGACAGTGCCCCTTTTAAACAGAGTACGGCAAATGTCTCAACGCAAAGACCACAAATCCTTCAGGGGCAGCAACAATACAAAATAAGGGTATCAAAATTAGAGCTCATCTGAATTGCTGGTAGAAAAAAGAAGGACAAAAACAGAGGAAAAGCAGAGAGAAGAAAATGCCAGTGGAGCTCCTGGGACAGAGACTCGTGGTGTGACAGTGCCGCAGAAGAGACCACAGGCCCAGTCATTTTTCTCTGCTCCACTGACCTGCTGGAATGCAGAGAAAAGGTGCCCTATAGACTAGACCTGTTTAAGTGACGCTGGACATGCTGCGAGTCAGTTAAAGCCCTGCGTGAAACTCTTGTGTCTTTCAGGTGCCAGACATCAAAGGGACCAGAGCGAGCAAGAGCCTGGCAAATTAATGAATTACTTCCAAACAGCTACTGTTCCCCTGCCTGCAAGATTATTTACTAGGTGCAGTGAAAAGCACTCACTCTTAACATTTTAAATGGGTCTAGTTCAAACACTTTATGTAGTAGAAGGCCATTTGTGTCAACTGACAATAGAATTGAGCAAATTCGGACCGCATGCTGGTAAACCTTTTGCATAACAGCCTCATCTTCTGAGGGACCTGGTTTGGAATTAACGCATTAATTACATTAATACATTGGAATTAATCAATGTATTTCTCTGAAACTGCTGCCTGGTGAAATAACCTGCATTGTTATTTGCTCTAATCAGCTTTCAAAGTTATAACTTAGTTTAAAAATGCCTGAAAATCACAGCAGTATCACTCAGCAAGAATAATTTAAGCTTAAAAACAGGCAGGTCTGATTAAATCATATAAACGGGCTTTGAGGACCAAGTATTTCATATACCTTTAATGAAATTTGCCACAAAACCATTTTGATCTTTGATTTTGCAATTAACAGAGCTGTCCTGTGAGGTCATTCAACCACATTCTTATTCACATTTTCACATGCCAAAGAAAAGAGCACATTCATAATGCAAAACCTTTCAAAAAGTCAGTGTTTTTTTCCATAACCCAAAGAGTAAAAAATCTTTTGAACCAAATATCTTTCGTATAGTCCACTGAATAACATGCACTCAGCATAATAACTTTTTCAGGAGCTTTTGAAAAACAAACTCCCCGGCTGTAACCATTATTATTGTCATCGCCAGTATATCTATTAATGTAATAACTCAACCTGATGGGCTTTACTTTCTCATTACCATTCGGAATCTCATGGCATTTGTTTCAACACAGTATTGATGCTTAGCTTAGACCACATCAGCCTGGCATTAAGTTTAATCCTTTTAAATGTTTTGAAAACAAAAAAAGATTATAACATTCATGACAAAAACTGGTTATAACTTGCTGCAAATAAAAATAAAACAGGATTGGTGCGAGTGACTCCACACATTAATGTTCTCACTAGTTAAATCTTCCTGGAAGAAATTTAATATTGACCTGTTTAGGCTCAGAGGTTTAGCCTTAAACTTCCAGCTACATGGGTTCTGTCAGTCTCAGCCAAAAAGCTTTCTAGTTAATCAGGCAGCTTTTGAAACTAAAATGCAATGGTGCTGTGGGATTCAGCACTCTCTGCATGATGAGAGATTTACACCGGGCCCTTGAGGTTAAAGTTCAGGGTGGTCACAGTTGCAGAGTTCAAGGGTCAGTAAGATTTTTTTCCCATGCAGCTGTGCTAGTGTCAGAGTTTAAGTCTCACTACTAAAGTCAACAGGCTCACAAAACACAAAAATCATCATCAATAACATATCTCCAATTACTAAAAACAAACTTTAGTGACTCATTTGTTTGTGCATTGTCGGCAGTGTTTTTTTAAGAGAGAAAAGAGAGCACGGAGACCACTGACTGCAACGTTTTAGACATCCGCATGGCTTGGCTGACACTGTGTTACGGGCTTCAAGGGGACTGAATGAAACAAGAGACCGAGCAAAAGATTCCTTGGTATACTAATGACAACCAGAGTAGAGGCATTTAAGGCAGAGTAGAGGCATTTTTTGACAGAATATTCAGTGTAATTACCTAATCAGTATAAATGCAGCCACCGTTCATTCTAAGAAATGCTCATCGGCGCAGTGTGATCCCATCTGCAGCCAGGGCTAGATTGTGTAGATTGTACACACTGCTAGGCTCAGGGGTGAAATGTTTTGCTCCCTTGTGCAGTCTCATGGCTCTGTGATCCAGCCATCGCGTGTTCAAGCCTGGACCACACCACCGGCTGACTGTGACTGAGATTTGCCAGGTAGCAGTGGATAGTATAGTGTATCTGGCTAAGACCCTGTGTGGCTGGGACATCCTAGAGCTGGACAGGTCTCTCTTGAGCACGTGAAGCAATGATACCCAGTGATTTGCACTTGCAAAGATGTCAGTGAGGGACAGCTCTCTTCTCCAGTTGGCACTGAGCCCCCTGTTTGTCACTACAGAGCTTGCCCTGAGTCAAAAGATGAAGGCTCCACTGGGTGGGAGGAGCCTGTATACACTTCCTCATTCTCCCCATGTGGGCACCAAGATTATTCCTATGAGATTCCAGATTGGGATACTCTATAATAAAAACTAAAACGGCGGCCTTGAGGTTAATAAAAATCTAAGACACTTTGTTCCATTTTGAAAGCTGGATTTCTCCTGTTTCTCATCGGATTGAAGGGAGGAGCAGAGTTAGTTCCACCTCTGTTTGTACCCTCAGTTCTAATGTGACTGTTGTTTCACGGATGGCAGGAGTGTCACAGGGAGCAGTGGCATCACACTTACATGCACGAGCTGGTCCTGAGTATCGTACTCTTTCGAACAACCTTCCCAGTGGCAGTTGGTCTCGTAGATGACTTCAGGCTCTTGCTTGCACTCATCTTTATCCATATCTTCTTTCAGGTCCAGAACACCACCTAGATGGTCCTGTTTAACATGCAGAAGTGCCACAAAAAACAAGCTTTTAATGGTCAAGAACATTCAGCCCGATCACTGCCTTTTTTACCACAATGCCCTGACAACAAACACAACAGTCGTCATCTACAGTAAAAGGAATCCAGTAATCGCAAGGCTGGTGAGGGAATCATGTTCGGGCTAGTGAAGTGGGCACAGGAGTGACCACTATCAGTGGTCAGTTCTCCTAATCCACCACAAGAGAGCTGCAGAAATGACTCACCGGCATATTGCACCATCTCATATGCACAGAATGGGATTTTTGGAGTTAGGGTTTTAAGACAACATTCTAACCTCATGTTTTCCATACTGCTGTGTGATAAGGCTGCATGCCTGTTAAAGCTTCAGAAGATTCCTGAATATACTGTATATACAGTACATACATTCTTTTAAAGGCTTTTTTTTCCTTCTGTTAGATTTGGCAGACAGAAACCAACATCAAGACAGCTACTGAGAGTTTTGAGGTATAAAGGAGTTAAACTCCTTAATGTGGAAATGGAAACTGTTTTATCTCACTTCTTTAAGACCAAAGTTGTGTTTCATGCCTGTGATGAAAAGGAATTCATCTGCTCCAATGGAAACAGCATAAAGTCTTGGTACGATAAGGCAGTTCTGTTGGAGGCTCTTTAAAAAAAACTTGCCTTGATAGAGGCCTCCCCCTGAGGCAGCTAAAATTGTTTTCAGGCTGTGCGGTTTCATAACTGTTGACGTGCACCTAAGCTCCGTGCTCTGGAGATGCAGCTCTTCGCCCCCAACATGCTGACTACAGCATGTTTATCTTTCCCTGATATGCTATCTTCATCAATTCTCCGGTCCCTAGATGTTTCCATTCGCAGCCGTCCCCATGCATCATGCTGAAACCTGCCTCTGATTCTGAGAGGAGCAGGGAATTTGTCAAAAGACAGAATAAAAAAAAAACCCTCAGATGACAATAACACCAGCCAATATTTCATTAAAATTAAGTGCTCCGACACAGTTTACAGTGGTTGAAAAAAAAAATGAATGAATGCAAAGCTCTTATCACCAGGAGTTTTTCTTTCAGGAGCTCACAAAAAAGGGGGTCAGGGGATTTCTCGTTTCCCTAGGGTCAAATATTGTGCCATTGATCAGAAAGAAATATGCATAAAAAAATGACTCTCGGTAGATAACACTGCATGGATGCGTGAGAACCTAGCTATTAAGTATCTAGCTTTTTTTTTTGCGCTGCTCCTCTAGCAGAAATGTTCAAACACCCTTTTGTCTGTACAAGAGAAGAAAAAAAAATAAAGTCCCTAAAAATATAACTGCATCCAAAAAAGCATACAAAAAAGTGCTTCTGTTGCACTAAAATACACAAAAAACAAATTGCGCTTTCACTAAAATTTCTTTTTGAATGCAGTTTTGCAAACTCCTAGGTAAGCTGTGTAACAAAATGAGTGTTTTGATGCCCTCGAGCCTAGGTGACTCTTTACTGATGAACTGTTTCCTGCTAGACTATTGCTGCCCGGGCCATGCAGCAGTTTGGACACAGTACGTTTAAATCTGGCTATATTAAACACTGTTAGCCAGGTCTGCTGGGTCTTTATGCTGGCAGAGGACAAGTGCTGACAGTTCCCTTTTAATGTTTTTGTTCTCGGCAGGAACATCATTTTTGAAAGAATGAATGAAAAGGTAGCTGGTGTTGCGGCAGTATCCCTGCATCTGAATGACTCCAGTACAGCCCAGCCCAGGCGTTGCTCGACCACGGCTCTACCATATCAGCCCCGCTGGAAAGACTCATTCATCCATACTCAATAGTCCCTCCTCACTGCTACCTGAGAGCGGGGAGAGGTGGGCCGAGGGCTGTCCCCCTCCGTCTTCACCTTGGATCTCTTGGTGATCATTGGATTCACTGTGCTGCTCACAGCTGAGTCACCACTTGCGTTCTGGAACGAAACAGATGAAACCAATTGGAACGGGACCAACATCAATATTTTGCTTTGATGGTGCATGATTGCTCTGTCCTGAACTCATCGTGCCTGTATTTCAGAGGAGCTCTGCCACAGAGACTAAACAGTTTAGGCTCCAAATGTGGAATAGCCCGAATATGCAATAAGTATTATACACAATACATCAAAGAGCATGTCACAGAAAGAGTATTAAAAGAATTCTTTCAGTCTGTGCCCTCTCTCCGTGTATTTAATTACCCAGTAGCTATTTTTAAGACAGGGGAGATGCTCCCTCGTATTTGTATAACATCCTGACCCCTGGCCATTCGTGGAACACAAGATCTCCAGCTTTTGATTTCAATAATGCTTACTGTGCGGACTGTTAACCAGCAAAATGTGTTTCTGATCACAGGCAAGTGGCTTCAAGTACTCTTCAGTGGAGTGTGTAGACAGACAGAGAAGAGGGTATGTGGGTCAGAGGGGAACGAATGGGTAAGAACTTTATCCTATACTTGTCCTGGGTGGGTTTATCTTCAGCGAAAAACCACTACAATAGTGTATATAACAGAATAAACACACATGACCACAAAAGTCAGATATAATGTCAACAGTGAAGGAAGACAGGATATTTTAGAGCCAACAATCTGAAGTCAGTTAGAAAAAGCAAATTTGCCTTTTTGTATTTTTTACAATGCCAGACCATACACAGTACTTAACGTTTCTGCTTTCACATTTTGTTTTACTTTATAAGGAGACAAGGATACAGAAAACATTGTTTACTTTGCCACGGGATCATTCCAACGTGTTAAATAAAGGGACCACGTGGGAGGTGCTGCTAGCCTGCTACTGCTTTGCCTGATGGTGTTTCGCCAATAACTCTGGGTCTAAGGCGAGCCTGGTGCCTCTGGAGGGAAAGACCATCTCAGGAGAGGAGTGAAGCCCGGGCCCCAAGCCTGCGCCGTCCCTGCCCGGCTCACCTGCGTGGATTCGGCGGTGCTGTTGCCGTGCGCCGCGGTGGGCAGCGAGGGGATGCCCGTGGCATGCTGGCGGGGGACGAATGTCGGCGAGGGATGGATGAGAGGCGGGGTGTGTCCGAACGCGGAGCTCAGGCCCCGCTGCTGGCTCAGGATCTGTTGGTACGCCATGGGATTGATGGGGTGAGGGAAGGTAAAGGCGGGACTGAAAGAGACAAGGATGGAGGGGGGGGAAGAGACCAGGTGTTTACATACTGTCAGACAGACAACTATCACCTCATAAACTTCCACAGCCCAGCTGGGGCTCCTCCGATACTCACAGCAGGAAACTAAAGTGAGGTTTTCATCTGTGTAAAGCCACACGAGACAGGTGGGCTGGCATAACCGAATGTGGACACTGGGGAAACTCAGGTTGAAAGTCCTGGGAGTATTCTCCAGGACATTCCCTCAGTTCACCTCTTAACAGAAAAGATACTGCTGCTCTGGAGTCGTTCCAATGAAAAGCAAACAGATGCTGGGGCTTAAAGGAATAATGTCCTGCCCTGTCAGGCAGAAGGACCTGAGCCTTGTTATTCTTGAGCAGAGAAGACTACAAGGAGATCTGATACAAGTATTCAAAATCCTCAAAGGCATCGACAAAGTCATCCCAGAAGTTATATGGACATGCCTTTAAAACTGAGAATGAGAGGCACTTCTTTACTCAGAGGGGGGTGGGAGTGTGGAACAAGCTACCCAGCCCTGCTTTTAATGCCGATAGAAACCACGGTTTCTTTCCAGAAACCACCAGATGAGACAGACGGATCACTTATCTACTACCAAAGAGCTACTGTAGATGGGCAGAAAGGCCAGCTCCCGTCTGTAAGCAGATGCTGGGAAAGCACACGGCCCAAGCCCACGCTGCACCTTACCTGATCCCTCCGGCGGAGAGGTGTCCGTAGGATCCGCTGGCCGCGGAGCTGCTGCGGGAGTTGTTGATGTAGGCCACGAGAGAGTTGGGAGACGTCCGGATCATGGTCTGGAGATCAATGCTGGCGTCGGAGAGGGGTGAGATGGACAGAGCCCTCTTCCGGCTGAGACGGGGAGTCAGCCTGGGGCTGGAGAACCGCGACACTGCGGGACAGAGAGAGACAAGCTCTGCAGCGGTGCACACAGCCCCCTCGCGCTTAGTCCTGACAGGGGCGCCCACTTACAGCAGGGTATCCTTTTTAAAAGGAACATCTAAGGAGCAACATCACCTGTAGCATTGTGTCACTTCTGAGTGCTTCCCACTGGTAGGCTATTTTCGGAGGCAGAAGTCTAGCGGAATATTCCAGCTGGGACAGTGTGATTGATGCTCACGGGCTGTCTGTGACACACTCAAAGCTCTTGACAACAGCAGTACCTATCAATAACCGCTCAGGATTGATTTGAAGCTAACACTGACTGTGTAAACTGAAGAAGCTGTAACTGGCAGAACTGTGGGAAATTCTGGTAATATCCTGGGTATTTTCAGCAGTCAGTACCTGGGGTAACATCTTTAATATAGGAAGGAAACCAGAACCAGACTCATAATACTGATGTCTTAATGTACATGGAGCTCTTATTTAAAACCTACAGTAGTTGCGGTCCTGAATCAAGTTTTACTAAGGTCACAAAAGGTCATTACACCAGTGTAGTTCATTTGCCTCCTACCTTGTTAAAAGTTATGTTTCTTGAAAGACCCGTGCCCTTTTAGCCTACATAATGCTACACAACAATGAAACTTCTCCAGGAAAAAAAATATTTTCTAAAAATTCTAAAAATCATTTAATAAAATATCATTCCCAGAATTTCCTGAAGCCATTATGGGATTCTCTGACGTCTAAAAGATAATGGTTTTTTTGCAATAAAGCATTTTAAATACATTCACTGCGCACACTCCTAAGAATAGGAAAACATTCTGGATAAGAAGGAAGGTTGTTGCACGTGAACTTGAAAGTTATTTCTTTACCAGTTACATTTACCGTTATTTGTTTACTATCTCTGAGATCTTTCACAAACCACGTTTGCGCTCAGTTTTGACCTTCCGATGGATAATTAATTGCACTCAATAATTTGCCGTAATTACTGTGATAAAAATCTAATTACAGCTGTTGTATTTCTGCAATGGAGTAGCGTATTTCTGTAATAGAGGTAATTTTGTAAGCGGATTACAATTAAGAGAAATAAACTAAAAATACAACAAAACCCTTCATGGAGTGTGTTTCTAGATTTTTAAAAGGGTAGGAATTTGCTTTAATCTACTTACTGGTATTTTTTGCCTCCTATCCTTTATTTTTACTTTGGAAAAATGTTGTTTGTTCTGAATTAACCCAGAAATAAAGCATGCTTTACGTTTACAAGCTGTGAGCGTGAAGCTTGCTTTAGATGTGATCCTCCAGATATAGCTTGTCCTCCCTAAAGTACCCCCTTGATTCAGTTGGTGAAGGAAGTTTTCGTTTTACCACCTGATCTGCCGGTGCAGATAGGTCCCTTCCTATAAGTAAGGAGCCCTGGGATCCTGTGGGATGAAATGCACTATACAAAAGCAAAGCCATCTGCATTTGCACTCATTGCACACAGGAAGTAGTCTAAGTTTTGGAGTGCATATTCCCGATTAGAATGATATCTTCCTGCAATTTATTTTTCCTCAAACTGACAATCTACAGTCTAGACTATATTTCTAAGGCACTCTATCCTATATGTCTGTAAATAATTTGTACTGCAGTAAGAGAAGGACCAGCAGCTGCCTTTAAAATGTGTTTTTTTCATGTTTGAAATTTTAGCTGGCATTATTTCTTTGTGATTGAGATGCGGCCTGCCTACAGGTCCCTGGGACCTCTGTGGATCCATGGTGAGATAAAAATGTCATTACCAAATAAATAAATTACACCAGAAACGTGTCTACCCTGCACCGCATTGAGTTGGCGTCGTGCCAAGGGAATACACAATAGTTTCATTTTCTGGGCTTTGTTTTTAAAAGTACAAAGTGGGAAGTCCCCAGTTATCCATCTAATGAAGAGAAACACAAAACCTTCGGCACGGAGAGCTTAGGTGATATGGCCTCTGTGTAAATTCCCCTGAGACAATAACCTGTTCTGAGTATCCTCATCACAGCAGCCTCTTCCTGATTGGACCTTAAGCACCTAGTAATTACTTATTTAGTCTCCATCAACACACAACACAACCCTTTAATCTTTCTTCTCCCTCAGCACAAGTTCCTTTCAGCCTCACTATTGTAATATGTGAAAGCTATACTCCTATCTGTGTGATGCACGTGCAGGGTTTCAGGATTTCATTCAATTAAACTGCTCGACGACACAAAAAGGGGGCAACTCTTTTACTTTCTTCTGCTACTGTACATCCTTTCCTGAGCTCCTGCTGCAGCACGTCACTAAGCATAAAATGCTCTTGTGCTGACAGCGTCAGGATAAACTTGGCAAGGGGGAGAACTAACCTGTCTCGTGATAACAAACCGGAAACCGTGTGTTGAAGATCTGGTGCCTACTTTTGTTCTCTGCTAGAAAAGGCATGCTGTCAGGGGTTTGACTGGGTGGCTACTTGTGCCCCCAGGAGGGAAAGCTCCTTCCGAAGCGAGATCTCCCAGCCCAGCTCAGCCAGGGCGCACTGCTCCTCCGAGAGCAGCAGCTGGATAAGGCCACCGGCTGCTACAGGCTCAACAGGTGCTGTGCATTAGGCCGGCTGACAGAGGAGCCCAGGAGGAGGAAGAGTGTGACATACAGAGGAAAGGGGCTAAATGAACACGAACAAAGGCTCTGGGTACCGGAAATCCACTTGTGTCATCACATGTCTTGCCAGAACAACAGAGCAAATGTCTGCCAGAACCCAAAGGGCACAGAGACTATTCCTCTGTAGGTTATTAGCTCTTCATTAGGGGTTATCCAGCTTTATGACTCTGACTACTATCTTTCACACAGAGCTTGTAGGTCACAGTGACTTTAAACTTTTTTCTCATCTTTGCTCCATGGGTCTCTGTGTTTAACGGTTCTGATGTGTATTGAAACCCAGCTGTGCCGTAAGTGTACAGTGACCAGTCCAGGACTTGACAGCCCTCCGGTTTGGATGATCTAGAAAGATATCCACGTTTGCCGAAAACAACGGACAAATTTGTAAAAATGTTAGTTTGTTCAACACATTTGTATGTGCACAAAGACGGTGGTGGGTTTAAAGAAATCGAGCACATACAGGAATATACACAGACATGAAGAACCTTAAAAAAAAAAACCTGGACTGAATTTCGCCCAAATTTGCATTCCTTTAATCGTTTTCTTTCTGTGACTGGGAGAAGCCATTCACAATTGGCAGTGTTATTTATCTCTGTTACTCCCTCACCTCAGGGGAGATCTGTTTATTAATGTGCCACTTCCCTTGATAAATTACTAAATAGAAAGCAAAGCCTTGTACTCGTTCCTCCCTTGGTTCCCCCATGATTTATGTCAGCAATGACTGCTCAGCCATTGGCCCCCATTAATTTGCTGGTGGAAACAGGCGTGCCGTGCAGAGGCAGGGCTCTGTTTATTGGTGCATTGTCTGCTGGCCTGCTCAGGAGGTGTACATCTTGTTTCCACAGCTGAAGAACTACTGGGGGCTGTCACGTCTCCCTGACCTGGGACCACTCAAGCACACAGCCTGTAATGCGCATTTTATCAGTGGCTGCCTTCATTTAGATCTTCTGGGCCAATGAGAGCCCGGAAACAGATGTTGAAAAAATTGGGATTGATAAGTCCTTTGGCCATTTCATTTCTTTACTGTTGCAAGAGGAAAGACACAGGCGCTCACATCCAAGGTAAAATGCCCGGAATCAGTCTCCAGTAATATTGTTTTATTGCGGTATCATCTACTTTATTATTATAATGACAACAAAGCTTTTCTTTGAATGTTGCATGGTCAAAAAATTAGAAACACAAAACTAATCTTGGTTTCAAAAGCTTTGAATTCAGTGACAGCCACCTACTGTAGCTCACGTGTTTGAGCTATTCAAAGTGTGTGTCTGTAAACACAAACAGATGCATACTCACACCGATCTACAGTCTGTATCATACTTCATCTAAACAGGCACCAGATCCAGTCTTTTGTCAGAATGCGTCGTTTGTGCTGCAGAAGTTATGTGAGCACAACCCCTTCCCCTGAGTGAAAGAGTCCTTTGCTGCTCATCCCCAGAAATGACAAAGAAGTGGGCCAGAGCTCAGCCACTTTTTCACACTGCGCTTCATTAAGATATCTGTACAGAAGGCAAATAATCAGCACGAGTCACGCTCACACAGCACTCTGGCCTGGTCGTTCGCCAGTAATAAAAGGAAAAATAACACACTGCTGTAGAGAAATGTTTATTTTCTCTGGTAAAATCTAACTAATACCATGACTGCAAATTTTATTAGAAGGGGCTTGTGCTGGATCCACTCCGAGCCCTCAGCTACTGACTTGAGCCAGCTGCTTGGGTAATGTGACGACAACAGGGCTCCTCTCTCTAAACCCCTATTCTTGCACAGAAATCCAATAGTGCCTGGATGTCAGACATTTTTGCTGGCACTGGCTATTGTCCAGGGACCCAAGACGTTTTCCCACAGGCTCCAAGGCACCGATTATTTAGTGACTTTTTTTGCCTGTTCCTTTAAGCTTCTTAATGAAAGACAAGGTAGCCTTCTTTTAGTTCGATTGGAGGGGGGGAAGCTAGGAAAAGACTTATGTAAATGTTGTGGTGTCTGGACGACACATTATCATATCCGCCATTTTCCTTCTGGGTATTCAAATGAGCAGCACCCTGCCTGTGCAGCGATCTTAGAACTAGTAAATCTCTGATTCCCTATTTATTTATGCATTTTTTATTTTTGCCATTTATTACTTTGAGGTCGGAAAACTGATATTAGCTCTTACTCTTCCTTTTACATAAATCACTGACAAAGCGTTTTAGAAAGAAGGACAGTCAAGTGGTGATAACGTGCTATTTGCATGATTTTGCACATTGCAATGGGCAAGAGCCGTAGAAGGCTTCTTCAATTGAAAGCATTTTTTGAGATCGCAAGACTAACAAGTGCATAGTGCCATAAGGCTAAATGAAACACAGAATTTGTATGAAACTGGAGAACTGCTTTTAAAAACGCTTGTTGACAAGCTTGGCTATATTAACAGCAGGGCTCCTCATATCATTTTGGATATTCTTCCTGGTTAATAACACACTTCGTGGGGAGAACTGAAACATTACCTTGGAGCTAGCTCAGGGCAAGTACAGATTTTTAGCACTGAAGTAAAATAGAGGAATGAATATCTACTCGAACCAGAGAGTTTTCTTTAGTGTAATTTCGCTTAAAAAGCAGTTTAACCAACTGACCTCTAAACTTTAAAGACTATGTCAAAGTTTATCAAAAGTGTTTTTCCCCCTATAGTATGTTTATAAAGAAGTTGTACGATCCCATGTATGAACCATGTTGAATATAGCAATTTGTATTGTTAGTTAGATGTCAGTAAATGCTTCATCATTTTAAAACAAAATGAGTATTATCATAAAATATTTTCATAATTTCATATCAAAATGATCCTAAATAATTTCACTGAATTATACAGTAACTTACAGTAATTTAAAATGTACAAAAGGTGTCAATGTTGTAACTTTGCATTTTAAAGAGTGATTTTAAACATACTGTACATATTTATCAATACACAAATCCCAAGGAATTAATATCTACTGTACATGCATATGCAGCTTTCATCGTAATAAATAAAACCTTTCATTCCAGGTTTTCCAGATTTGCCCTATAAAGCAATTAGCTGTGCAGCTTGTTCAATAACCGTTCTGTGTTTCAAGCATTCACAGAGGACTCCAGGGCCACAGTTTCAACAAACCAGTGCCAAACAACATCAAACCAACCGAGAGAAAAACAAAATAACAACCCCAAAGAAAAAAGGCTGTATGTTTGGTGTCTGTGGGTGTTTAAGTAAACTGTACATAGGCTACCTAAGCACACAAGTGTGGGAGAGCTGGTTTTTCCAACCAAAATCATGGCGTTAAACATTACCGAGAATCCAACAAGATATTACTGAGGGCCTTCACATCCCCAGTGATGGATGGCAAACGGATGTTTGAATGTCTGATTGAAAGTCAGAAGTAAACTGAACATTATGCTCAGTTCAGTGCTCTGCTCTGTTCCAAACGCAGTACTACAGAGGTCAACTGGCTTTTTCTCCAGAGCAGGTCAGTCTTTGACAATTAGTTTATTCTAGCAATTTGGATCTTAATTTGTTTTTCTTGGTGCTTATTTATTCAAGGCCAGCTCTGTTGGAACCATGACAGTCACTTTTACTGTACTTCATCTGGATTTCAGATCATCTTTAGCTTCATGATCATTGAAATCCCAGGAAGGAGAAGTTAATTTTTAACCATTTTAAAAAGCTGAAGCAAGAGCTGGGATGGATTCTGCACCTCTGTCTAGTGGCGGTCAACTCCAGCTTTTGCGTAGCTTTCTCTTCAGAAAAGCTGAAGGTAGAAGCACAAATCCTGACTGACTTTGGGTCCTTTGTCACGGTAATCATGTAGATTTCCACATGTGCCTCTATTTCCAAATAAATGGGCGTCATTTCTTTTCAGAATTAATCATTTCACCAATTGCAGTAATTTTTTTTAATTTGGTTTTATTCTAAATGCAAAATTTAAATATATTTTTGCTTGAGCAATATATTTATGTACAGTACAGTATGAGTGTGCTGACCGAAAAAATCATTTACAAGGTTTTAATACCCATATCAAAACAATTTGTGGCTTTTTGGACAAAATTCAAACATTTGAACATGTCAAAGGATGCAGGGGATTATAGAGGTCATTTCTGGCCAAAATAAACACATCTAACCCTACATTTGCAAGTACTTCTCCTAAAATCAAAAACCACTTCATAAATGCAGTTCTGTGAGACAATCGTAGGGGGTAAATCCTACGAAAAAATTAATTCCGGCCCTGACAGGCAGCAGATAAAAGCTAAAAATATCAGTGTAGAAATGTTGTGAAGAAGAAAGTATTTTTAGGTTTCTTTAAAGTTTCATTAACTCTCACCTTCCCCTCCAACTCTTTCCATGTTTTGACACCCAAGTACAACAGCTGTGATCGGGGCTGAAAGTAAGCCACACACGCTACAACAGGAAAATCTCTAAACCCGGAGAGCTCCACGCATCATTTCTAACGATAGACTTGGATACTCTAACCACGCTCTCGGTGACAGTCTACGGCGGCGCAGCGCCCCTCCCTAGCCAGCCAGAGCCTCATCTTGCCTGCGGGACACAGCCCAGGCCTCGCGAGGCCGGGCGGGCGACACTCACCATCCACGGGGTTGATGTAGTCGGGGAGGTGAGCAGGCGCCGTGGCCGCCCCGGCCTGCATGAGGATGTCCCCGTAGGGGTTGCGGTGGCTGGCCATCAGGTGGTAGTACTCAGCCGGGTTCGCCCCGGGAGGGGGGGGGGGCAGGCCGAAAAGCCCGCGCTCCTTCAAGTGCTCATGCGTGACTGCAGGGACGGGTAGAAAACAGCAAGGGGAACAAATAAGCGCTCTGTCCCTAGCGAGTCAGAAGCCCCGCGACTGCACTGACGTCAGCTCCCAGGTGGGACTGCTGGGGGCCCTCTTTCCGCCGACCGAGGAGAGCAGAGCTGGGGCCCCCACATTCCTCTGTCTCCTCAAACTTACAAACAAGGTCCCTCGAAAGCTTTTTCCAGGGCAGGAGCAGGACCCCCGCGGCAGGGAGCGATCCGGAGAGCTGCCGCAACAGTGATGTAACGGTGTTAACATCTGCACCCACTAAACCCGCTCTGAGCGTGTCAGAGGCAATAAGGCTGAGATATGAATTTGTTTTGCACGGCCGAAAGTTTAACAGCAAGCCACTCCACCCACACAGCTTCTTTCTCCATCTGCTCCTTTAAAAGTTATAGGAAATGTCCGTTCTGTTTAAGGTAAGGGCCTAACGGCAGTGCAGGGCAGCTGTGAAGTGCTTCTCTCTTGCCTCCATCACCTTTCACTGCCTAAGTGATCTTTCAGAAACAATTACATGCTGAAGCAATAAAAGAGAACAGGCTTGTGTTTGTATTGGCTTCATGGCCAAACCAGATTTTTCCTTCCCCGTATCATATAGCTACTTAAATTGAGTCACTTTGTATCTGCTCAGCGAGTAGCATGCTTGGAAGTAGCAGATAAACCCCAGTGGAACGCAGATCTTTTCTTAAAACATGCATTTCACTAACAGACGCCAGATAAGGACTGGAGACTTTAGTTGGATGCATATAAAAAACTTGCACTTACTTCACGTCAATTTATGGCAATATGATCAGGAAATTTAATATAATTTGCTAGATTATTGGCTGTTAGCTATAGGTAGGATGGCCAACACTTTTCAGAAACATTTACAGAAATCAATTCCAGACAACGCCTGAGTTGCACCTCGGGGCAGCTCTTGTTGGTCGGCGAGAGTCAGCCCCTGAAAGGTACCGACAACAGGCAGAAAACCTGTCGCACAACAAGAAAATGCACCTTTTCTTTGAGGGAATACTTACTATGACGTACAGCACCGGCTTATCGTTTTGTACACAGCAGGTGTGCATTTGATAAAGAGGTAGCAGCTAGTAACATTTTGTCTTCGTTTTTTAATGTGCTGAAGAACGAACGTTGGTAAACTGCAACGCAATGGCAGGCTCTAAGCCTGCCTGCTGCTTCTGCACGTCAGCACCTCGGGCTCAGCCAGCCTCCATTTTCTCACCTCCTCCACTCTGTCGTTGGTCAGATCAGTGCCGCATTGGCTATTTAACTTTAAAAGCCTGAGCATATTACTTTTGACAGACTGAGAAGATGATTTATTTCCCGTTTTGCCTCTCTGTCCCAACCTGTTACTGGAACACAGTTCTGCAGAAAGTGCCCTCATCACATCTCAGAAAATTTGGAGGGGGTGTTCCACCTTTCTTTTACTGCACTGATTTGTGTGTGTGTGTGTGCTCCTGAACCCCGCAAAAAAACAACAACAGTCAAGACATTGAGTTCCTGGTTTTTCCGCACACACCATTTCCACAGAGCCATGCTGTTTACAAATCAGCAACACTGATGGAAATAATACTGTAGGCGCACTGCTTTGCAAAAATACCCAGCCCCTGGCACATTTTTCACATTTTGTCTCTTCAAAGCTTACAGTCATAATACCTTGAAGTAGCAATTAATGTGTTACACACTTTCTCCATGCAATCAAAACAAAATACAAAAAGTGGTAAATAGACAATCAATATGAAAAAGGTAATGATTGTATAAGTATTCAAACTCTTTGATATAAAAAATTAAAATGAATTTAACAAATTCATAACCAAATTACTTTAACAAATTACACAATTAGGTGAGTGGTTTCTGTTCATTAATAGTGGTTCTCATGATTTCAGAATAAATACAACTACAGTATCTCTATAATGTTCCTCATTCAACTTGGGAGAGCTTGAGCAAATCTCCCAAGACGAATGGGCAGACATTGCAGCAAGCTGGTGTGTAAGGCGGACAGAATCTTACCCAGAAAGACTTGCGACTGAAATTGCTACCAAAGGTACTTTCACGAAAGACTGAGTTCATGGGTCTGAATACTTATAACTTGTAATAACTTGTAATAAGTAATACAATAAAAAATATTGTAATACTTGTAATACTTACAATCAACATATTTCAGTTTTGTTCTGCTTAGCTTTTGCTGACATTTACTGCAACTTATCTGTCCTTTAGTGTTCCTCAGTTTGAGCATTCGGGTTTGGAATAACTAAGCTTAAAAACGCGCATGCGTCGTTTTTTTAACTTCACAGAATGTGACACCATGGAAAGGCTCTGAATACGTCTGCAAGGCACTGCGTGCAGACACCAAGCACAGACGTAAGAGACATAAAAGAGCAGTGCCTGTGCCCTTCCAGAGCGCAGTGTCTGGCAGCCGTGGTCCCACAGAAGGTTGCTCCTCACACCGCGGGCCTCTGTGGGTGAGCACTGGGAAGACCTGACCCAGCTCCGTGCTGGCCAGGCAGGTCTCCTACTGTACATAAATATAGATGCGACCCGAGACCCTGCGTGCCCAGGGAAAATATTTCTTTGCTTTTCAAGACAAGCTCAAAGAGACCGTTTTAAACCCTTCAGTTGTGAGAACGTCTCCAAATCGTGCCTGCCTGTCTCTCTTTCCGGGACTCGCCTGTCTCCACCTGGGGAGCCTGCAGACCGGACACAGCCATGCTTGGAGCTCCGGCGCGTGAGGCAATGCGCACAGCCCACCTTCTTTGTTCAGGACAACCCTGCCCCCAGATTCTGAACCCGGTTACTCACCGTCCGCGGGGCTCAGGCCTCGGGCAGCGGAGATGACGGACAGCGTGGGGCTGCTGTGCATGGAGCGCAGGTAGTGCTCCATGTGGGGGTTGACGTAGGGGTGCGGGGGGTTGAAGGGAGACTCCCCCGCGCCTGCCGGGTGGGGGGACAGCCGGATCAGCGAGATGTCGGAGATGACTGGGCTACCTGCTAATCCGGGGGGGCTGGGGGAAAGAAAGAGGGAGGGGCGATTACTTCAGAAAGCCATCAAAACTTTATTGCTCATTCGTTATTAATACGTCCCAGGATGCATGCAACGTTTTATTAACCTGATTTAGTATTTACGTAGCCATATTTTATTAATATTATTTACAACGCACTGGGGTTCATGCAAAATCATATTCATTAACATGTGCCTTTCTGTTCACGGAGGCCCAGCAGCGTGAAGCTATCGATGTGAGGCGAGAGTTTCGAGGCAGCTCACAAGATTACCCACCGCTGCTGGGACCCTTCCCCTTTTCCTCTTCTGCAAGGAGAGCGTCATTTTATGGCATTTCATCCGGACCCTACTGAGTGAAGAGCGAGGCACTTACAGGGCCTGCACACACTCTCTAGAGCGACCCCAGATTTTACATCTCATTTAAGGTAAGCAAACAAGCAAGAGAACGCGGGCAGTGTCGCATATTTGTAGGAGACCTCCGGTCTGGCCTGCCCTGTTTGCTTGCCCGTGGCACGTTTTCAAGTCATGCACTTCCCTCCCAGAGAGCAATTCATACTGTAGCTAAGGCTATGGAAAAAGTAACATTAGAATCGGGTTTAATTAATGCAGGAAAGCAGCTTCAGGTATGACTAAACCTCCGAGTACCCTAGTTCTGGTTTCTCAGATTTCTATCTGTACACGCTCCGTCGGTCCTCAAGCAGGTAGCATTTCTTGATTTCTGATTTCCTGCCCGCACCGAGCAACAACAATGCTACTCACGCCGCAGCACCGAGGACAAGGCTGATTTTTTTTGTGATCACTCAGCAATGAAGCACATCAGGTCTTCTGCATCTGTCAACAAGATTTTATTACAGAAACACAGCTAGGCCACTGCTTTCATTAATCCGAATACAATTCGGTTGTCTAACCATATGAATAAACACAAGTCACTGCTTAATTAATAATTAGATTTTAAAGTGCACATTAAGAACTCACAATCCATGTTTCTAGGGCTGTTTTCAGGTCAACCCAAAATGGAAGCAATGATCTATTCATGGGAGACTTTCAAACCTTGTGCTCCATGCTAAATGTGGCTTTTCAATGTTCATTTCTAGGTGTATGTAATAAAGCACGGGAAATAAGTTTAAACAATTAAAAGAAGATAAGGATAACAAAAGTATGGCTGGAAATCAGGAGAAGTTGGACTGAATTTGACTTCGGACGTGAACTTCGAATAAGGGAGACACAGAGAAACTGCTCATTCCGAAATTGTGGAAGTTTGCGTTGAGCTGAATAAATACAGTACGTTACATTTCAGGGGAATTTCACATCGTAAAAAAAAAAAACAACGATCCTCCTTTTTCATCGGTCAGCAGACAATGGCGTATCAATGGCGTGTCGAGCAACAGGTTTATGAAGAGTGATGAGGATGACCAGAAAGACCGGCTCAGAAAGAGATTCTGGGTGTCCACTTGCTAAGTGGAACACGACAGCGCACAGCAGTGCACCTCCAGAAAACCGAGCTCGCTGCCTCGCTGTGCGAGAGAAAGAGCGTAACAGGATCTCGGGATTTCCCGATGAGGGATAAACTGTGCTCCTCTGGCAGGTAATTGACCTGCCTTTCTAACTACTCCGCCAGGCGGCTGTTTTCAGTCACCCGCCCTCGGAAGTGCGTGACATGCCTCAGTGCTTTTAGCGCGGAGCTACAGTATACACCCCGAGCACCCTGCCAATAGTCTTTGAAGATGTGCGCTGTGTATCTAATGTCACATTTAATACAGAGCGGAGAGGAGCTTTCCAGCGCAAGGATGACAAGCCAGTGGGAAAGCTGTGTAGAAAGATATACAGCTTCAAGGAGATCAGAGATTTACTTTCTTCCAGCAGAGATGAGAAAGCTCAGAACCCGAACTCTAACAGACATGTTTAAAGAGAACCACAGCAGAGGCACGGTAGCCCTGGGTGAAGGGAGCACTCTGTTCTTCTAACAGTTTTAATAAAGAGTTGCCAGTCGCCATGAAAGACAGCAGACTGGGCTGTCACAGACAGGGTCTTACCGCCATGTTTCTTTCTTGCGGTATTTAAAGAGGAGAGGTCTACGCTACCGCGCTGCGTTCTGACGGGACATGACTGACTGCACTGGTGTTGGTGAACGGCTGACGGTACAGAGACTGGGTTCATTCTTTTCCTGATTTTATTTTGCAACCAAGAATTCCCTTCTGAACAGCGTGCAGTAAAAACCACAACATATTTTCTCTGTCGGTTCTGTGGGAACATACTTCACGGAGATGCAGAGAAAGGTTGAGCCCCTCACTATACAAAAGGAAACCAGCAGGAAACCTGACGCTGATTAGTCATTCAGATCTCTGATGACTTCCATAGCATTGGACGTCAACTATTACACACAGTAACAGATCCTTGATAGCACAGTGCAGAACTCAAAAGATTTCAGACTTATTTTCCATTAATGCATTTCTATTTGTGTAAATACAGTTTTTGTGATACAACAAATGAAGTGGAGCAGCAAGGAACTTTCTACTAATTTTACTACAGTATATATTGCAAGTGCACTTAATGGAGTATATACGGTACTACAAAACAATTGCGACTTCGCTAGGATTGTTTCTATTTTATGCAAAAACCTCAGGAGACAAAAAATTCTATAAAATTGCATGGATTTTTAAATGCTGTCCCCCTTTTAAATGAAAGGCATTTAATAAATGAAGACCATATTCCTTTGGCAAACTAATTATGACCCTCTCTGGGACTAAGGCTGCTATGAAATCCCAGATGATTTACCAAAGTCTGATTAACCTGAATTTCTCATTTATCAAAAAACACTGACCAGAGGCCAGACAGCGCTTGACCCAACACATGCTAAGTTTCCAGTAAACTGCTGTAGACTACCAGCCTTGTTAAAGGGCCAATTTTCTGCCATCAGACCCGGAAATGGATGACCAATAAAGAAATCTCTGTTTAACACTGAGAAGAAACAGGCTCCCTCACACACAGCACGCTGCGATTTCCACTCATTACAGAGAGGGCTATATAAAAGAGGGTGTCTTTCACGAATATCTCTGTGATTTTGCAAAAGGCAACAAAATGCTCTTATCTGTCTGAATTATTTATTGCTAAAATTGTTAGTGCAGTGGTGTTTCCCTTCCCCCTCCGGCCATGTGCTCTTTTATCTCTGACAGGCTTCAGACTGTGCTCTCTGGAAACAGATCACAGTGACAGCAAGAGGGGTTGCAATGGAATGGGTTCTTCTGGGCTCAGCTTAAACTCAATTGCACGTGGGCCTTATCCACACGGCTACATCCTGAGTGCTTACGCACTTACAGGCTTTTAAATGTTCTTGTTTTTTTCTTACACCTTTTACACTGTTTTAGTAGCAAGACCAGACAAAAACGCTTCCGAAAAGAGCATGACATAAAAAAGCTAACATTATTAAACAGTTACTGGCTGTAAACAGGCAGTTTTCAGAGGAATTCCTGGAGTTTTTATCCTGCCGTTTAACATCTCTGTGGTTCTCTGTGTCACTCCAGCTGGCTTTAATTTCACAATAAAAACCCTTACGTGACATGAGCTGGTTATACAGCGCTTTAACCAGAAGGTTCATTGCAAAAAAGCACGGTAAATTGTTCATAAATACAGCACTAAGTGAAGGTATGGAATAGTATATTTAAACACAGCAAATGTCATGGTAAAAGCATAAATCTGGCAATGTGCACCATTTGTACAGAGTATTACTTAAACCCACGTATTTAAATGTACAATATACTGTACTGTACATTGAAACCTCCCTGCAGAGTCACAGTAAGAAGAAAAGTCACAGTAAGAAATCCCAGAGCATGCTTAGAAAAGCTGAAAAAACAGAAGCAAAATCCCTAAATACTGTATGTAACATAACACTCACAGTTTAACTTTCTGAAATAAAATGGGATTCAAGATTTACTAGACTCATCAGTATACTACGTAATTTAAATAATTGTACTTTCCATCAGTCCAGAATGGACTTCTCAGGGTGCACTACTCACCTCCTGTCATGTTGGGAAAGTGCCTTTTCTAGTTTTAGCATGCTGGTAACTCGATATGATGATTATCTATGATTATCTATGTGCTGAAGGCAGCCATTCAGTAACACTAGTAAGAGCTTTGTGTATCATCTAATTATACTTTTTTCAAACTTTCAATCCTGGCAAACAAATCTACTATTTGTGATTTGACAATAGAAACAGGAGGCCTGGTTCACATTAGAGATCAGGCTATATTTCTTTTAACGTTTTTAAAAGACCTTCTGACTAATTTTAGCAGATACGAAAAGTGGTTTTGCAACATCAGCTTGTAAGGAGTATTGTTTTTCTTACACTTTGTCAAACTGTGAATTCTTACCAACAGGTTACTTGCTGAAGTCATACGCTGTATACTTTTATGTGTGGCTAGATTAAAAAGTATATTTTCATTTTATGATACAGATGTCTGGATGATCTGAATATCTTGACATGTTTGAAGTGCATATTGTCTACTCGCTACATAATGTCCAAGTACTTAAAAATAAGTTGAATGACTAGCTAAAACTTGAGAGTGCAGCAAAACTCATTTTAATTACCATACTGTTTCTGAATAACATACTGCACAAATGAAGATGCTTACAATAACAGAGAGACATTACCTAATTTCAATTTGTCTTCTGTAACTGCAGGGGAAAGTTTCTATATTCATGTCTAGTAGGTGCACGTAAGAAATTCAGCATAAAAAATTTATATGAGTCACTGTGGTATTCTGACAGTCATTAAACTGCGCTACAGGGAACATAACCCTTTCAGCATTAGATAATCTTTGGTGTTCTTTGTCGTTTTATGTGGTTATTCTGATTTTGTGGTGTGTTTTTGTAGTGGTTTTACGAAAGAATGCCAAGGTCTGAAGAAAATTATTTGCATAGAGTGATTTCTTTGAGAAAAAAAAATTAAGAATAATCAATGGTTCTGAGAATGTCTCTGAAGCTAAAAGTTTGGGGTGCTTCTACAC